AAACTTAAAAAAAAAAAAAAAACTGACTACATGAGAAAGGGAAAGAAAGTCTTAACTCTATCCACAAAAAGCCCTAGAATGCTCTGTCTACTCCCTCCCCAGTCCTCTCCCGTCCCTCCTCTCCCGCCTCACACTCGCATAGAGCCCTCCTCTATCGCCATAACTCCCGTCCCTTCTCTCCGGTAACTCCCATTCCTCCTCTCCCTCCTCTCTTCCCCCTTCTAGTTAGTAGTTCCCACTGTTGAATATTCGTCCAGAAAGGCAGGTTCATCCAGAAAGGTGAAAACCACTAATTCTTCCAAGTTTATGTGACTCAAAGGTAAATATATTCTATAACTTTTCCGATTCAGTTCAAGATTCGGCACGTCATGCACAAATCTATTTTTCATAGTCAGTTCAAATGTTCAAGATTGATTTTTCGGTTTGTTTCTTTTCTATTTAGTTACTTCCTTCCAAGTTCGGAGTTCCAAGGGTGGACTGAAGCTGAAAGTCGAAAGCAGGTTTTTTTTTATACTTATTTTCAACTTTTTTTTACAGTTTACTTTAGTTACTTCCTTTTTTGTATCATTTGAACAACTCTAGATTTAAGACACGTTTGATTAAAGTCATTTCTTGCTTTTTTGGCCAGAAGTTTACTGCTAGCTGCTTTGTATTATGGTAAACTTCTGGCCGACGTTTGGTTCTGCTGTATGATTTCTGTATTGTTATGTTGTAACAATATGTTGGATACATAATAATATTGTTATGTTGTAACAAAATGTTGGACTGAAACTGTTTGGTGGATTTGAAATCTATTGTTATGTTGTATGCTTCATTTATGATTTATCTGTGCTTTTTTCCCCAGTTTAACGAAATAATAAATAAAAAACACGACATTCCTGCATGGTTTGATGCATCTTCATATTAGACCAGCTTGTATTGTTGTCCTCTATTTATGTACTAACTGAAAATCTAATGGGAAATCGTGAAATCAGAAAATGTTGCTCGATCCAATAGCCTGGTCAAATTTAGATTGGGAATAACTTGCATTTTCCTGCATTAAGTAATGGACCCAGGTGCAATA